GTATATACTAGCTTTGGATTCACTAACAATAAGACTGACGCGTGCTAAATGCAGACTATCACATTCACGACAAGCCGGTGCCGGAAGATGGCAACTGCTATGCCACAGGTGGACACCTAGACCCTTACATGCGCGGTGATCAGCCTCCTTGCAATACCACCGTGCCTGAGACATGCCAAGTCGGGGACATAAGCGGAAAACATGGACCTGTGTGGACGGCTGATGGCAACTTCGAGGTCTTGTATAGGGACTTCTTCCTTTCGAATGTGAAAGATACTGTCGCCTTTTTCGGCAATCGCTCGGTCGTTGTGCACCTGCCTGACAACAAAAGGATCAACTGTGGTAACTTCCACCTGGTGTCTGATGGGGAGGAGAAAAGGAAAGAGGCGAAGAAAGACCAGGGTTGTTGAAAAGACGTGTCTTTCTTGCTAATAATACGTCCAGTTTAGATTCTAGTTGGGTATCTCGGTCTCGGCTATGGATAGTTTAGAAACCTGACCGATACTTGTCGTATCGCTTTACAGTTTACCTTTTCTTATTAAGTCTAATAATAGTGATAATGCATTCGAATTTCGGATTGGCCTTTTTCCATTTCTATTTTCAGATTGTTACCTATATATCACTGAGAGGCTCTGTTGGCCAAAAAGGCTCCCAACAGCGTTCCGAAGGATGCATTAGGCCTCCCAAGCACGAGCCCAGAGGACTAGCCTTATGGAGCCTGACATCCTTCGCTCCATACAGAGTGGTGGTAGATGTTGCTGGATCAAAACCCTTGCGCCCTTTTTATAGGACGTATTTTTGCGCAGCTGCATTTGGAGAAGAGTTTGCCCTTTCCAAGGTTGTCACAAGAACCGCAACTAGTATCCGACTCTGTTCTTCAGGAACATTGGAAAGTGGCCGCAAACGGAGGCGGCTGACGACGGCGTGGAACTGGCAACATGACCGTTTTTTTTTAACTTGGGCGTGGGGCACTGTCTAGTCCCCACAGACCCAGTAATCTGACATCGGAACCCAATTTAACCAGGTTGGTCTCAGGTAGCTGTCCGTCCAAGCTCTCAAGCCTGCTTTGAATTGCATTCTGATCATCTTGTCCCTCTTCCGCCTTATATTCTTGGAGTACAATAGTCCGCATTAGGCGCCGAGGGGCCCGGCGACCCGTGAATAGCTCGAATTGTGCGAATCCTTGTTCTGGAAGGACGTCAAGGCCGTCCAACGCAACCCAGCCGCGGTGAGAAAGAGCTCGCATTTGTTTCACCAGCGGGGTATCGAGTGGTTTATAAGCGAGCTAGATAACAATTAACAGTCTGCCCAGGCAAATTTTGCATATATTTTGAATAAGGAAATAGCTTACCTCGACCACAACACCACCAGTAGGGCTTCCAAGCCACTGAGAGGGTATTTCAAAGTTGGGGGCCGGCTGACCCCCGATGCTGTGCGCTGGTATGCACGAACATATCACGGTTGGTGGGTTATAGTTAGCAGGCCAACTATCTTGTAGCGAGCGTAGAGTATGAACTGTCGAGCGAGTTGTTGGCGCATTGTTGTTGTGCGTGGGGAGATTTTGTCGATTGTAATGGTATGCTAACTTCTCGGCATTGGCAAAGGTACGGTTCCATACGAATATGTTCTGCACACCCAAGTGGATCATAGAGTATACGGCAGCACGAGCCATACCGCCTGAGCCAATAACCAGCCCAGTAGATGACGGACGAATCGCATTGGCAGGCGAAAGTCCCCGTCGAAGGCAATTGCAGATGCCAATCCAATCAGTGTTGTCTCCATGTAAGCCCTTTATCGGTCCTGCCCGGCTTTTCTCCAAATACAAGGAGGACCCTTTGGAAACAAGAGCGGGATTCTCCAGATCCCGGATTGGTATCAGGGTATTAACTGCTCCGATTGCCCGGGCATGAGGTGACATTGAATGAAGGAGCGGGATGCTTTCTGTCTTGTAAGGCAGACTGACACTGGTTCCACCAAAGTTCGGGTTTGCCACTAACTCATTGAGGCCTCGCAGAGATGGTGACTGGTGAAGACTATAAACGTGTGGCATCCCGCATGCCTTATACGCCGCGTTGTGCATAGCGGGAGACAAACTGTACGTTACATTGGCACCGAAAACGAAGAACTGCATCGGGTCCAGAGCGAAGGAGGCATAGAGCGCTTCTTGTGCTTCACGTAACGTGATGCAAGGCAGGTTCTTCGCTTGAGTCTCAGACAACAGGGCTTCATTATTTACGGGTGTCAATATCGGGTTAAAACAGCAAGACAGCCGACCTAGTGAGCCTGAATTATAGGCTATGAGAGGCAACTGCGGGCCAGGGAGACCTTGGATACGATGACGGAAGCGCTGGACAGCGTGGTTATCGTCCATTGATGATGCCGGCTGTGTCAATCGAACTATATCGCATCTGAGTCGTTTGGCACGTTCGTACAGCTCTAGGTAGACAGGACCGTCCCAGCCTTGGTCAGCGGGTTGGATAGAAGCAAAATGCCCAATAACCTTGCTTGAGCCTTTCGAAGCGATAATTTGGGATAATACACCGTCATCGTAAGATAGGTCAACCGTTATGAAATCAGGAGCCAACCGTAAACCATGGTGCATCAAATTTAGATACGCGGCACTAGAGCGGTGTAACGGCTCATTATGCGGTGTTGTTGAGCCAACCAGGCTTACATCGCTTTCAACATGGTATATCAGAGGGACAACAATGTTCCGCCGAATGGTGGCCATAGTTTGACTAATCCTATCCGAAAGGGTAGACTCGAGCCCTAAACGAGAGGAAGGAATCTCTGTCACATCGACCTTTAGTTCGAAAGCATCTGCGGTTGATTCCAAATCCTCAATATTGAGATTCCTTGTAAAAAGAGTGGATATCGGTACAGACACAGCGTAAGTAAAGATCCGCGTTTCGACTGGTTGCGTAGAGAGTGGGAACGATGCATGTTGGTTACTCAGATCGGTAGCATTTCCAGTGGCGAAAGCAATGAAACGAACAAAATCACGTTGCAACCGTTTAAGAGTCAGAAATGGCGTGAATGTTTGGGAGCGCTGATCTACTTCAAGCTCAAGCTGTGAATGGTGATGACCGTTTTTCCCTAGCGTGAGATCTCCATGGCCGGTTTCCGAGACATTGAAGAACTCAAGGTTTGAACATGCGCGATAGATAGGACCAGAAAGCTCGAGAAAACGGCGAACTTTATCTGTGTCCCATGCTTGTAGATATGCTTGAATACTTTCCGGATCTCGAATGATATGGATGACAGGATGCGTTTTTGCATATTCCCTGAGGAGCATTTGCCCACTGCGCTCCATGGAACCTGGCCCGCACGCGATGACCCAACCTTCTTTATGTTCTGATAGCATAGATTCCATAACTCTAGCTTCCTGTTGACGATACTCGATAATTCCATGTTCTTTCTTGAAAGCGGCACGTGAACGTCCTGTCACTTGCTGGAAATGGCGATCGGCATCAATCAATCGTCTTCCGGAAGTTGCGGCCAAGATGACCGCAAGACTGGACTTGCCCGTGCCACGTATTCCAACTAGTACAATGGAAACATTTGGTGCAAATGTCCTCTGTACCTGAAGGGGACTGTCGAAGGATACAGGTGACGCCCTACTGGAGTTAAACCCACGCGAAGAAGACTCTCTAGTAATCTCCGCAGGCTCTGCCAGAGGGGAGGCGGTGATGATCGGATGCCTAGCATCTTTTCCAGAATCCAGTTCCAATGACAGATGTGCACTGGGGGTAGCATTTGGGTAGCGTCCATTGTATGATAGCCTATTCCTTTCCTCAAGCCCTTCGATTTCGGATAGTTTACGTTTTGGCGGCCTCACGAGTATAGACATTGTCACACTGAAGTAGGAGCGCCTATGTATTCGGCGAATAGGGGCATTCCTGGCTTATGTGCGGCGTGGGTAGTGAGATGGAGACATTGATCAAGGAATAGACGTACGACTTGATGGCGAAAATGTAGAAACCAAGTGCTCGTTAGGGAGAATTCACTGTAGAAAACTAGAATAATCGGGGTGACAGCCTGAGTGACTCGGTCAGGGTTCAACGCGGCGTTGGGCGACTGCCTCCCGACCAAGAAAAATCAATCGATGTACGATGGTGGTTGTGGAGGTGGAGGAAGAGCTAAGGGGACCTAATCGTGGGGAAGCGACAAAGTTGGTTTGGTTTGGGGAAGCCTTAGGGCCTCGGAGATTTGGATCCATTGGAGTTTGCGGACAAATGCTCAGCCGTGAAAATTACCACCACAGGATTTAAAATACCGTATCGTCTAGAATCATTCTAGGTGGCAATTACTACCCCGCGGGGAGTAACCCACTCGGGCGACATTCCCGAAAAACAGTCTTGAGATACGACATAATACTGAGTCTTACTTACAACTTGGTATGATCACACCACTCTCCTGCAAGCATTGACTTGCTGTTTTGGAATTCTTTCATTATCGATTAGCAAAAGATCTTCAACATTGACCGAGTGAAATGGGTACTTACTGGGTCCTGCTCGCTAAGTCCATTTAGTGATCATGAGTCGAAGCCGAAGTGGAGAAGATTAGATTACTAGTGCCATGGTTCCCAAGTGTTTTCAATCAGTCTACTTTGATTCGGGGGAGGTCATCGCTTGCTCCGTACTCTGTATTGACACTAGGCCGCGGGTAAGCAATAGGGCCGCTTTCCCCAACTTCCACCGGCATACACTCGTTTTTCCTTTCTCCGCTTTTTCATTCTGTCAATATCTCAATTTTTGCTATCACCACCAAATTCGGATTGGTTACGCACAGATTCCAGTTCTAGTTGGACTAAGCGATCTAGTCTCGCCTGACAGCACGGACTAGCTCATATTCCTTGTGTTCCCATTGCCCTGTGTGGTGGGGTGAATTGAAGTTCAATTCCTGCAAAGTCATCTGCCGGCAAATGATACATCTCGGTTGCAACATCTGACGATGGACATGCGTCCAGAACAATCTAGTGCACTGCTATTTAGACGATCATGAGCAGCGACATGCGCCAAGCTTCCGGGAGCAGCAAAGCTAAACGACGACTGATTGATGCCGACGACGATAATAGATCGAATACTGCAGATGAGCATACCTCTAATCCCAAGAGACAGCGGGTCTCGCGTGCCTGCGACAGCTGTCGGTCGAAAAAGGATAAATGCGACGGGGTCCAACCAGTATGTTCAACCTGCGCTTCGCTGTCCAGGCCCTGCACCTACAAGGCCAATCCCAAAAAGAGGGGCTTACCAACCGGGTACATTCGCACGCTGGAGTTGCTATGGGGTCTCGTGTTCTGCAAAATAAAGGGTAGTGAGGATGTGGTTCGCGCCTTGTTAAAGGCAGCCAATATGCCAAGTCATTTGTCTACAATGGGCAAAGAGGCTGAGGGATCCGACACACTTCTCTTCTCGTGGAAGAATAGTGCTGTGCTTAGAGATGTCGAGCGGATGTTGACCTTATTAGAGCAGCCAGAGGATGAGCAAGATAAAGAGCTACGAGCCCCTGGAGACAGTGATTCTCCTCAGGATGCCGAAGGCAGTAGTGTATTATCTTCCGATACCCTCGAGTGGTATATTCCTGAAGGGCTAGGAGATGGAAGGGAGAGTTCATTGGCTGCAGGGCCATCACCCATTAAAACACCTACAATTGGATCATCCGCTAAAAGCCATCCGACACGCAATACCCGAGACTCCGGCACTCAAACATTCTCCCCGAATGACGCGACAGAAGACCCCAGAATACTAGTCACTCAACCACCATCGCTGCCTCACTCCATCCTCTATTCCTCTGAGAGTACATCGAGATATCCGCCTCGCCTCCCCTCCAATGCTTGGGCATTGATTGACCTATACTTTACATATACACAGTGTTGGTTTCCAATACTCGAAAAGCACGATATACTTCGGACTGCATTTCGCCACTCGGAGGATGACACCCCTGTTTCGGCTACGTCTGCTGGCTCTGGCAATCACGCAGCACTATGGGCAGTTCTAGCTCTTGCCTCTATTCAGGAGGCTTCAATTACCACGACTCGTCAAATGCCGCAAGCTTCTAGCGACCGACCAAATCCTAAACAGCTGTACATAACAGCCAAAAGCCTAATCCCAGGAGAAGAAGGTACCTATGATATTGGCCATGTTCAAGCATTGCTGATCTTGTCACTTATCAAACTTGGTCAACAAGAGTGGGCAGCTGCATGGGTGCTTGTGGGACAGGCCGTTCGTATTTCACAGTGTCTGAGGCTGGATCGCCCCCCAAGCACCCAATTGATTAATGGAGATGGGCTAAAGAGCCCGGGGCGAGCGAAGCATGTCTTTTTGGGTTGCTTTTTGCTTGAGACTATAGTTGCAATGCAAACCGACCAAATCCCGTCATTGCGCAAGGGCGACCTGATGAATATTGGCCCAATTAATGAGGATGGTTTGGAAGAATGGCATCCTTGGGAAGATCAAACTGGCCTTCGTCCGGTTGAGTCATCACGAGGCAATTTCCATCGCGGGCCGCTCCATGCACTGAGCACTTTTAACCGACTTATCTCGTTGATATGTATTTTGAACGACCTGTGCTGTACCAAGCAATCTATGACTAGCTCTGCCTCACAGCTAGAAGTGCTGGAACGCCAATTACAAATCTGGATCTCGGCTCTTCCCAAGAGTTACCGTGTTGATGTGCAAGCGAACTCAGCGAAGCCAGCTTCACCTCACATCTTTGGACTCGAGATGATGTATGAAGGCGTCATTGCTACCCTGAGTTTACAATTCGCAATTCAGAAAAGCGACGCCAGCGTACACGAGGCGATACACCAGGGACGTGCGACAGAAAGCTCGAAAAGATTACTATTATTACTTCAAATGTACATGGAGACTTACAGTCTCTCTGCCACTTTCCCTACCTTTGGTACGGTTCTTTCGCTTAGCACGCCCCAGGAAATTGAAACTCGCAATTTGCCTTTATTGTTTGATCTCGATTCTGGCTTAAAGCAAAAATTGCGATCATTTGTCTCACATCTCGCGACTGTGTGGTTCGTGCAGGAGAAAGACACGTCGGGGTTACGTATGGCAACCATGACACCAAATGTGTCATCGATGTCCGTAACTCAGCGACAACGAAGCCTGACAAATCCAACCTCGGCCGATCAGAATTCTTTCCACCTTGCGGAAATGCCAATCTCAGGAAATGCGACAAGGAGAGCTGGGGCAATAGACAATACACACCTAGATATTAGTGCAGCTGATCCACTTCTTTCGAACTCCTGGATGCGAACGGCATCAAATGCCGAGGACAATGCAGCATTGTCATTACCAACACCTGCCTCATCGGTTAATATCAACCGAGGAGTAACGGAAACGTTACAGCAAACCTCTCAACCCAGGGAGCCCACTTCCCATAGGCAACACGCTTCAATATCTTCATCCACACGACCGGTAAACGGAGCGGCTTCATTACCAGACTTGAGTTCATTTCAGCCTTTACAATATCAGACACCATACAGTGAACAGAATAATAACATTGGCTCCTTTCTTGACATGGACGGATATGGGTCTCTCCAACGACCGCGGATTGCTCCCGATCTCGATGCATTGTTTGATGAATTAGCATCGTTGGATGGTACCGAAAAGTGAGTAGCTCTCATCCTCGTTGTAGTTGCAAAGTCGCTGACATGCGGACTGCAGAGCGGACAATCAGCCAGAATTCATGCAGAACTTAGGATTTGTTCCAGATGCAGGAATTCCGGAACTATATTCTTATTCCAGTCAGGTTGAACCATTCCTCCTGGCCCAAACACAACAATTGCCAATTTCCGACCCTTCGGGGGGTGGTGCTACCACGGGAGTCTCAACTGGTAATTGAGCCACAAACTTGATGTTGGATAACACCGGGTGGGCCTCAGGTTAAGTTCAGAAGATTTTGACTCCGTGGGTGTTCTGGCTTGCCCACCTGTTAGATATGCCCCGCTGGTGGCATTTGATTCAAAGCACCATCTCATGGGCTGGTCCTTGTAGTGCGATAGCTACCCAGCAAAAGGCTATGAAGAGTTTATGCATAGCGTTTCGCCCTTACTTCTAATTCTTCGATTGTATATATTAAAGCGTATATATTTTGTCATTGGTGTGCAGTGACAGAAATGAATGGACGATCTAATCGATGTTCACATCGAACAACCCTTGCAATGACACATCTACACATTACACTATACATCAACACTTGTCTGAGACATTTTTCCTATGGAGCATCTGTAACTGGCACTTAAAGTACAGCCTTGTCCTCCCTCGACTTGAAATTCACAGCCACATGTTCCACCGCAACCTTATAGCCATATACTCCCAACCCAACAATTATTCCGGCGGCTTTATCGCTAAAGTAGCTGTGGTGTCTCCATGGCTCCCTTGCATGGACGTTACTCACATGTAGCTCGATGAAAGGAATATCCACCCCCACCAAGGCGTCCCGGATAGCCACTGAGGTATGCGTGTAGGCGCCAGGGTTGATAACGATTCCATCAACATTACCCCGAGCAGCTTGGATGCGATCAACGATTGCGCCTTCGTGATTGGATTGGAATGTTTCAAGAGTAGCTCCTAATGAAGTAGCGTGGGCTTTGCTTGAGGCTTCGACATCTGCGAGAGTGGTTGAGCCGTAGATATGAGGCTCACGAGTACCCAGGAGGTTAAGGTTGGGGCCATTAATGAGGAGGATTGATTTTCCCATTCTGAATTATCGGTATATGAAGACTTTGAGGAGAATGGATTTCGTTTTTCGTGATAGACTGATAGCTGAACGAGGAAGTGTGGTATTTCAGATGTGGAGTAAGGCAAGAATAGAAACTAATAGTAATTTTGTTGTTTGAAGAACTGTTTCTAGTTTCACTATTATACTTTCATACTCATCTTATCGCATGGGTAAACCATCTGCACCCAACTTTAGTAAGTATTACGGAGTAGCTAAATCCCCCCGGAGATATAGGGGAAATTCTTTCCCTAGGCAAGTATGGCTATGCACGTTATTCTCTCATAAATCTGGCACACAATGGGGATCTAAACCAACATACTCGTAATTAATTAACTGAGTATACTTGTAATTACATCGAAAGTGGCAACCAGAAAACTTTGGTGGGGAAGGAACCAGGGTTCTCCGCATTGGACTAAAAGGAAACTCCGGTAAGATGGGGAGAACGCTTTCCCGGCATGCCGAACACCCGCGGGAAGCCGGCGCACACGCTATGCTATGCTGCAGTCGTTGTGCAGGAGTGATGAAGATTGTATTGAGATATAAACAAAGGTGTCTCATGGGTGTGGATCTTATATTCCCCAGAAATCTTGGATACTCCTATTCAGAGAAGAACCATGGCCGTATTAAATTGCATGCAAGTAATTGCCGATATCCGGGATACCTACACATACTGTGCGTGGGTGTGTACATAGGGCTGGAGGCATACCATAGGCCTGCTGGACAGGCATACGCGCCCAATTTCTTCATGGACGGTTGAAAGGTATTGTAGATCAGATTCAGATATCTCGAGGAATGATTGATAGGCAGCTACTGGCCCATAGTATGCACCATGAGTCCACTGCTCAACAAAGTTTGGTAGACGTTGAAGATCCCACTTCCATTGTTCGCAATTTGGCCCGGGCACTATAACATGTGTTTTACACAAAATAGATATCAAATTTATGCTGAAGATCATAGCCAATCAGTGCATATTCATTTGCCTACTACGTAGGTAGATTTTCTTGGTAGGTTCATGCATGTACCCCCATCCAGATAGCCACCCACGTGAGGAAACAAGCAATGTGGAGCCCGTAGATAGTCAATTTTATCGGTTACTCACGGTCGCTGGAGATAACCTGCACTCATAAACCTCGACCGGTCCATGAGGAGTCATTCATCTTGGATAGTCCACCTCATCTGTGCTTCAGTAGTACATGTTTAGAAGGTCACAATCAACCCAAGAAGTTTGAAGCACAGCGCCCACGATAGCCATCTGAAAACCTTGCACTTATCGTTATCGACCCCGCACGATGACAGTCATGGGGCTTGACCAGGAGCAACTGGACGAGATCTATGCTTTTGCGGTAGACCTCGGCCGTAAAGCAGGTCAGCTCTTACTGGAGAGCATTGAAAAGCGAATCGGGGGTGAGGGGAGCCAGTCGGTGGAAGAAAAAGAAAATGCAGTGGATATTGTGACTCAGACAGATGAAGGTAAGCTCTATTGCGACCTTATCTAGATAACAACGTTTCAAGCGGCCTGACGATGCTCGTACCAGATGTGGAAGCATTTATCAAGACCGCAATTAACGAGAAATACCCTTCTCACAAGTCAGTCAATCCTCCCGGCCATTGCTGAACAAAACCACTTACAGACAACCAAAGATTCCTAGGGGAGGAGACATACGCCAAAGGACAGTCTCGAGATTATCTCATAGATGAACAACCAACATGGTGTATTGATCCACTAGATGGTAAATCTCTCACTCCCTATTGCAATTTTCTCCCTGACCATAAGCTCTAGGAACGGTTAACTTCACTCATATCTTCCCCATGTTCTGTGTCTCAATCGGCTTTATCGTTAACCATAAACCCGTCATTGGTGTCATTTATGCTCCTTTCCAAGACCAACTTTTCTCGTCATGTATTAACCGAGGTGCCTGGCTCAATGAAAAGCGCCGTCTTCCACTTATCCGCAACCCATCTATCCCACCAATGCCCCCTAATGCACCTAGCAAGTGTGTCTTTTCCTGTGAATGGGGAAAGGATCGCCGTGATATCCCCGATGGCAACATGCACCGCAAAATCGAGAGCTTTGTAAACATGGCCGCTGAGATCGGGGGTCGGAGTGGAAAAGGTGGAATGGTCCATGGTGTCCGGAGTTTGGGGAGTGCGACGTTGGATTTAGCGTACACCGCGATGGGATCGTTTGATATCTGGTGGGAGGGTGGCTGTTGGGAATGGTGGGTCCCCATCTCTTGCGCTCTGTGATAACCTCTGTTTCTTGTATGATATCAGTCTGACTGGCCTAGGGACGTTGCTGCTGGGATCGCAATCCTCCTTGAAGCGGGTGGCTTGGTCACCACTGCTAATCCACCAGCAGATCCTGACACTGACCCGATTGGGGATGTGCGACTAGGCAGTCGCTTGTACTTGGCTATTAGGTAGGATATCCCTGCGAGTACTTGAACAGTAATTGGTGGCTAACTTTAATTCAAGACCAGCGGGACCGTCAGCAACTGAGACCGGTCGACAGACACAGGAGAGAACAGTGAGGGAGGTATGGAAGCGTGTACGAGAGCTTGAATATACACGGCCTGGTGCTTAATTGTTTCCTTAAGATTTCTAAACCTCCGGGCGCTTTTTAGTGATTATAGAGACGACCAAGTTTTATGGAAGAACTCGTTTTTGTTCATGACGACATGTCTAAATTTATCATATATGCTATGCTCTAGGGTATGCTATATACAAAAATCATGTATAAGGAATGTTATATATAAAGACAATCAAAGATTGGGCTTGGATGACCTTTCAGCTAGCGACTTTGCCACCATATCCTTGACCTTCTCCACTACGCCAGGAACAGCAACCACATCCTGACCAGTCCAGAGACGGGCCTGTTCCAAGCCTTGCCAGATCAAAGCCTCTGAACCCAGGATAACTTTCCAGCCAGCCGTCGAAGCGAGCTGCGCAATTTCCGTCCAGGGAACAGGGTGATAGCACATCTCCAGAATGACACCCTTAACCGCATCGGAAGAAGTCTCGCCCAGGAAAGCCTGGAGCACTTCTCGGGCGTTGATTTCCTCAGGGGTCTTCGGCGGGTAGTTGGGAATACCCGAGACAATGGCCACGGGTGCCTCAAGAGAGGCCGCCACAGCGGGATCAGTGACATGAATGAGGGGAGCTTGCGTCGAAGTAGAATTCCGTTCCCTATCTTCGCTCAGAATAGTCTCGACTTCCAACGCATCACGGTTCACAATGTAGATCTTGCTAGCACCGAGCCATTTGCGTAGAACGTAAATTGCTGAGCGAGCCGTGCCGCCTCCACCGACAATCAAGGCAGGCTTGTTCTGGAACATTTCCGTGGATGGGGAGTTCTGCAGCAAGGCTTCCCGGATGCCAATGCAGTCGGTGTTTGTACCGACGTAGGAGCGGCTACCGTCTTGTTCCTCGCGTAAGAAGATGGTGTTGCAAGCTCCGGCTTGTCTTGCGTCCTCGGTGAGGTCGTCCAGGTGAGGCATGATGGCTACCTTGTGCGGCATGGTGACAGAGGAGCCAACGAACTTGGGGTTAGCTTTGATAGCGGCCAAATATTTATCGATTGAAGGTGACCGAGTGTACGGTGGAGGGTACGTCGCAGATGTGCCATAAACGCTGGATAGAGGAATCTGGGCCCAGTTCAAACCCAATGTGCTGTAGACGGTCTTATGGAGTGGTGGGGAGAGGGAGTTCAGCAATGGATGTCCGTAGAGATATGCGACACCATCCAGCTCAGCTGGACAGGTAATGGGCTCCTCGGGCTGAGCATCGTTCACAATCTGTGGTGCTGCCATTGTGACGGGAAATGAAACTAAAGGTATAGTTGATTGTTGAAAGGAGATTGGATTGGGTATATGGTAGTATATAAATGATGTGCAGCAAGAGGGGAATGGAAACAAGTATGCCACCAGTTCGTTTAACTAATTGTTAGTTCATTTTCTTCTGACGAGAACGAAAACCAATTGTCGTTTGAGGATTCCACACCTCTAGCAATGCGGCGGAGAAACGTTTAAGATTTTAGTTTGGGCCCGTGACTTGTTCCGAGATAATTTTAACGCAGCGGAACTTCTCCGTCGTTTTCATTCCCCTCCTCCGAGATCGCACTCCACTTGCTCTGTATTCTACTCCACAAAGTGTCGAGGTACTTCCACTACGGCTCATCTAAACGAGATACGTTGTTGGAACACTCATCAAGATCGATATGCTTTGTCTTGGTACAATATATGCAGCCAACCGCCACCGAATATGGATTTCTGTGGAATGCCTAGAAGCCCGTCTAACTTTAACCTAATTCTAACTTTCTACAGAACAATTGCCGGGGAGAACGCTTTTCCCGGCATAAGGGAGCTCGCCTCCTCGCTTAATCTTGTCGTCCAGTGGCAACACAGACCCCCATGGGGAATACATTGGTAGAGAATCTTTCCCGGCGAAGTACTTTCCCCAGCCACCGATGACATCTAGCCAATGGCCATTGGCCTTTGATTTCACCTGGATGATCCATGTACTTCTTGGGGGAAGGCCTGGGGTGGCCCCCCTACTAGCCATCTCTAGTCTGGGGTTTCCTTTCCTCGAGTACACTAAGGACTAAGGTCGTTTATAGTTCTTGGGTTCCTTGGCTTCCCCACAAATCCTCGCCAGCATTACCGTCTTAGTCCCACGCCCACTTGAGCGGAATCGGAGCGAGCGTGCCAACAACAATGGCAGAGATTTCATTGCGACTGGTAGAGTCATTCTGGCTTGGCTCCCTCGTAGTACAACAAAGTTTAAAAGCGTCTGGGCAAGAGGTTACGAGGAGAAACAAATACCGTCCTCCACGTGCCTACTATAAGATTAGATTCGTTTTGCCGCCGACAACTTAACAGGCCGTGGAAAAACAATCCATCTCCGCAACCCCAGGCGGTTTTCAGCTCACACCCCGGATTTTCGTTCCACGTTCCATAGACAAGGGCGTTGTCGTCTAGCGTGGGAATAGAATATAAGTATCTAGACCCCTGGCGCGCGGCACTTCTTTCTCATCTTCCTCATCAAACTTGTTTCTTGATTTTACACTTACACCATCGCAATCTCTGTGTACCTGACTTGAGTTGTTGACAGAATCTCTGACCATTCCATTGAGAGTGATCACACTGTCATCATGTCTATCCTCTCTCTAGTCGAGGATAGACCAACTCCCAAGGAGGTGTACAACTGGAAGGTATACCTCCTTGCAGCCGTCGCCTCATGCACATCTTGTATGATCGGATATGACAGTGCCTTCATTGGCACGACTATATCTCTCCAGTCATTCAAGGATGAGTTTGATTGGGACTCCATGTCTCCCGCGGACCAAGACCTAGTCAGCTCCAACATTGTGTCTCTCTACCAGGCAGGTGCATTCTTTGGTGCATTCTTCGCCTACCCTATCGGCCATTTCTGGGGCCGAAAATGGGGTCTGATGTTCTCTGCTTTAATATTCACACTGGGCGCTGGCCTAATGCTTGGTGTCAATGGCGACCGTGGATTTGGCCTACTTTACGGAGGTCGAGTACTTGCTGGCTTGGGAGTGGGAGCTGGCTCGAATATCACTCCTATTTATATCTCCGAGTTAGCTCCACCGGCGATCAGAGGACGGTTAGTTGGAGTTTACGAACTGGGGTGGCAAATTGGTGGGCTTGTAGGCTTTTGGATCTGTGTAAGTGCTTCCCATTTGTTATGCTTCCTACAAACTATCGACACAGCTAACCTTATCTGGCAGTACGGTGTTGATGAGACGTTAGCCCCGAGTCATAAGCAGTGGATCATCCCCTTCGCCGTCCAGCTGATCCCATCTGGCCTTCTTATTATTGGTGCCCTATTTTTGAAAGAGTCCCCACGTTGGCTATTCCTGCGGGGGCGTCGAGAGGAGGCAATCAAAAACCTCTGCTGGGTTCGTCAACTCTCAGAAGACCATGTCTACATGATTGAGGAAATCGGTGCCATTGACCAGGCCCTCGAACACCAGCGTTCTACTATTGGTCTGGGTTTCTGGAAGCCGTTCGTTGCGGCTTGGACGAACAAGAAGATACTGTATCGTCTCTTCCTTGGTAGCATGTTGTTCTTTTGGCAGAATGGTTCAGGTATCAACGCCATCAACTATTACAGTCCTACCGTTTTCAAAAGCATTGGTGTGACGGGTTCGAACACAAGCTTATTCACCACGGGTATCTTCGGTGTCGTGAAGACTGTGGTGACATTCATCTGGCTTCTTTGGCTGATTGACCATGTGGGACGGCGTCTGCTCCTCCTCATCGGTGCCGCCGGTGGCTCGGTCTGCTTGTGGATCGTTGGGGCGTATATCAAGATCGCCAAGCCTTCAGAACGAGAGAACACGCAGATGGATGGCGGTGGCATTGCTGCCATGTTCTTCTTCTACCTGTGGACTGTGTTTTATACCCCTTCCTGGAACGGTACCCCATGGGTTATTAACTCGGTAAGCTTGTTCTCCGGCTTCTGTGAATGCCATATTAGTAAACTCTCCTCTAATACCTTTGTCGTTTAGGAAATGTTCGATCCCAACATTCGATCGCTTGCGCAAGCCTGTGCGGCGGGATCCAACTGGCTCTGGAACTTCCTCATTTCCCGATTCACTCCACAGATGTTTGCCAAGATGGACTACGGAGTGTACTTCTTTTTCGCATCGCTCATGATTCTGTCCATCATCTTTGTGTTCTTCCTAATTCCAGAGACGAAGGGTATCCCGCTAGAGAGCATGGACAGACTTTTCGAGACTAAGCCAGTTTGGCGTGCTCACGGGACTCTCCTCAATCAAATTCGGGAAGACGAGGAACGGTTTCGGCATGATTTGGAGGATTCCGGCTTTGTTAAGAGCACCGATAAGCAGGTGGAGGTCGTGGATGCTTGATGTTGATATTTGATCCTGAATGTTGCGTTGTTCTGTGTCTTGTGTGATAATTATGAACTCCAACAGCTGGGCATGATGATGCCGAATGCTGTCTGATGACCCACATTCCCAAAGCGAATGAGCTCTGTTGGAAATCCTGTGATAATCATTTATTATATAAACCTAGCTATACCCTACCTGGACTTTCTGGCCCCTTCTTTCGGATTGTTTCAACTCCATGACCTTAAATTCACTCATCAATCAGCGGTTTCCTTCAATAACGGTCTGGTCTAGTTCGATTGTCTGTCCTGTTTCGAGTGCCTTTTGTACGGCTTGGCACACAAGTAAGGCCCTTAGGCCTTCTTCACCGGAGCAACTAGGCTCGGCTCTGCCTTGGATAACATCGACGAAATGGGCAAGCTGCAAATCGAACGGAGTCGCTTCTTCCACGTCAAACTTCTCGACCGTCAATGGTTGGTTCCAGCTCTTGTCTGGCCGGCCATCGTAACTCCAGCGTGTCATATCTGGGACACTGAGAGAGGCATCAGAACCAAAGATGCGGTAAAAGTCTGCGCCAGAAGAACACTTGGGAATGAGCGGGTTCTCGCCGGTCCCGGCCTCAAAGTTATGTGGAGATGGCGTAGCATCGCAGACAAGGAATGTACCGACAACGCCTGAAGCAAACCGAAGCGTCAGTGCAGCACCTTCCTCTGCTTCATGGGGGGGGTTAGGGCGCTGCGAGAGGGTCTTCTCAGCGTGAACGCGCACAATCGGGCCGAACAGGTAATGCATAATGTCAATATCATGCACAAGGTTAATTGGAACCACACCACCCGACGACCGAGCACGACGCCAGTCACCTGGAGGCGCAAAGTATTCTTCCGGCTTGAATAATGTCCAAAGGCCGTTAATGGCGATAACCTGGCCCAGAGATCCGGCATCTACCATCTGCTTCGTCTTTAGGACGTACGGGTTGAACCGACGGTGGTGTCCTACCAACAGCTTGAGCTGGGCGTTCTCCGGTCGCTGCGCAAACTGTAGTAGGGCTATGCCATTGTCGATGCTGTCACTAACTGGTTTCTCCACTAGGACGTGGATGCCACTGGCTAGGAGCTCTCGCGAGACGGGGACGTGGGTGTGGTTGGGCGTGCAAACGATGGCTGCATCAGGCTTGGGGATGGCTTGCAGCATGGCTTCGACAGTTGGATAGTAGCTCGTTTGCAGCTCCTGCGCTACCCTGGCAGCATTGGGGATCGGATCGATGAGTGCGACGAGCTCGGTGTCTGGATTGGAGATAACAGATTTGGCATGTCTAGGGCCAATAAGGCCTGCGCCGACGACGACAATTCTTAGAACCATTTTGGTAGTGGTGCTGTTGGAGGAATCACTGGAGAGAGGTATTGGTAGCAAATAGGGGGGAAGAAAACAAATGTATATGATACTTTTGTTAAACAGAAGATCGTCTACGAATCGGTCCACATCACACGATTTGGGGATAAATTCAAGGCCAAGCGAAGCTTCATTGCCGAGGAAAGACCTTAATCTACCCATCGCAATTGGTTTGGGGTTACAAAGCTCACAGCCGGTTAAAGACAGCGGGGAAAGCGCTTAGCCGGCGGTTCTTCTCTTCGTGTTTTCCTGCGGTGGAACCCCAGCCCTAATCATTGGGAGAGTTATCTTCCATAATACAAGCACGAGAATGGCATTGTGAATCGTTCTTCCAGGGCAGGGATGAAATTAAAATGTATTTATTAATAACACAAAGACCAGCGCGCCCAGCGAGATTAAGTGTGCTATTGGGATACTGTGTGATTAATACCTACGTCAACTGAACACGAGACATGACGCGGCAGTTAGCGGGTCTTTAACAGTTTCATACCTTGTATCAGCTCTCAGTGAATTGGGATCACGGCCACATCCCTTTCTTATAACTACTCTACTACTCTCTTCATCTACTGCTTCCTACTTTCTCTGCGTCTTCTATCAGTTCAGCAACCGCTTTTCACGATGCCTAACCGTCTCGGAATTGGTTCCATGTCCCTGGGGCGCCCGGGGATCCATGATCTGCCAACCAAGCTGCACCAGGCCTCCCAATTCGGCTACAAGGGCATTGAGCTATTTTTTGACGATCTTGACCACCTGGCGAAGTTGCTTTTTGATGGGGATCATATTTCTGCTGCTCATCATGTACGCCAGCTTTGTGTTTCGCTGGACCTCTCTATCATCTGTCTGCAGCCCTTCTGGCACTACGAGGGACTTCTGGACCGCACTGAGCACGAGCGGCTTCTCACCGAAAAGCTTCCCAAGTGGTTTGAGCTCGCACGCATTCTGGACACAGATCTCATCCAGATTCCTTCTAATTTCCTCCCCGCAGATGCTGAGACAGGCCAGCCCCGCACCACAGGTGATATGTCCGTCATTGTCTCAGATCTTCAGGAGATCGCCGATCTTGGCCTTCAACAGTCTCCCCCTTTTCGTTTCGTCTACGAAGCCCTAGCATGGGGTAATCACATCAACAAATGGGAAGACTCCTGGGAAGTTGTAGAGCGGGTCAACCGTCCAAACTTTGGAGTTTGTCTTGACACCTTCAATATCGCAGGACGGGTGTATGCCGATCCCACATCTCCCACAGGGAAGACACCTAATGCGGATGTCGAACTCCAAGCGTCTATAGCACGCCTGCGATCTCGCATCGACCTCTCAAAAGTTTTCTACGTTCAAATCGTGGATGGTGAACGCCTAAGTGCTCCTTTGGACGAATCTCACCCATTCTATGTCAAGGGTCAGCCCGCCCGCATGAACTGGTCGCGTAACGCACGCCTGTTTGCCTTCGAAGAGGACCGTGGTGGATACTTACCCGTCTTGGACGTCGCTAAAGCCTTCTTCGATATCGGCTTCGAGGGCTGGGTTTCCCTGGAATTATTCAACAGAAGCCTGGCTGATCCTGATCCATCTACGCCTCGCAATCACGCCAAAAGGGGTTTCGAGTCGTGGAAGAAACTAGTTGCTGCCTTGAAGCTGAATACCAGCGATGCTTCCTCGGTGTATGGTCTTGACGGTACAGTTTCACCATCGACTTCCGCTTTGCCTGTGCAGCATCGTCTTTAGTGCCGCTTTCGGCTTCTTCAAGGGGGGTGTTTTTTTTTTCTTCTTTCTTCCACATCAGGCGTTGGCTTTACCGGGTTTAATTGTTTGGCATATCTGTCCTCTCATGGCATCTTCACAGCGTATGTCCTCTAGTTTGTTTCTTCCTGGCCTTATGGCCTGTAATGATTGTAAATTATGATAGAAATACCCGAATGGAAACAGTTACCAGGCCTACTGTCGATAACTGCTCATGTTGTCATACATGCTCCTGAAAAAAGGCGGGAGAACATAACTCTCAGCTTCAGAGTTAATATATTCCTAAGGAAGATTGCTTAAATTCAACAGGACTTGCTTGAGTCTGTCCTGCTTTAGTTCAATTTCTCTGGTCAGCTTGCCTGCTGGTCACGAGGTGGTTAACGCTCACATGATTTCACTGTATCTAGTCACACTTCACACAAGTCTAGCAACAAGGAGCAGACAATAAATAGTTGATTGAAACACCTGCACACAAAATGTACGATCCTTAAAATAGCAAAGCCAAAAGAAATTTTACTTTTGGATGCTAAATAGAATGCACTGCGCCGCACTTTTGGCCGAGCTCTTTGAGTATTCCTAGCTTCAATATTTGAAGTCTGCTAGTTCCCCATATTTGGAAATTCCAAAGCTCATACCTAGATATTACACGTTAGATCAAAGATGAAGGCCCGACTCAAGCGCATATTCCACTCACCATTATCACTGTGTCGGGGCTCAGGGCCACCGAGAGATTCAGTCGAGCATTTACAAAAGAGAGGATGCATTACGGCTTTACCACGGGATACACCAAATGATTCATCTACTCCTCCAGTAGTGGACTTCTGGCAGAAGGCACTTCGGAGGCTTTCTATGGAAGACCAAGTGTTAATACAAAAACATACTACAACACAATCAACTTCATGTATCGTTAGCGACATGCCAGTCTTACTGCTGGTAGAAGTCAGGCAGAAACGGGAACTGTGTGAAAGTAGAAAGTGGGATGTCAGTTTTAATGGCAACACTTTCCGCTTAGGCGATATTGCAGACAGGGTCATCGCATGGCTAGAAAGGTTGAAAGCTATTGACGATATTGCTGTCAATGCAGACCCAATACACGCACAATTGCCATGGGCATGGATCAGGATATTGCTACAGGTAAGACTTCCCACTGTAAAGAAGATCACAATGGCCTTTGATGTCCAATATCTACTTAGGTAGCGACAGCCGATCGCGAAACTATGGGTTCCTTCCTAGTAGGGCTTGACAAGGTGTTCTACTTCATTGATCGGTGTAAGGTCTACGAACTTCTGTATCCCTACGATCCAGAGATGGAGCACGCATATCTTAATTTAGAAGCCACGGTCATTGAACTCTATGCCCTAATCCTGCAGTTTCTACTGACTGCAATCCGGGCGTATGAAGGAAGCAGGTATACAAGTATTTCGACGGCGTTTTGGACCCTCGATTGCGTTGACGATTATAACGCGCGCTTTGAAGCGATTGTTCCACGCATCAACTACGGGGCTCAAAACTGTGAGCGATGTTATAGTCGCCTCGATCGTGTTATTTCCACCGACCAATATAAAAGCCTAAAGCTCATGCTTGAAGATATTGAGCGAGTCAAGTCTCTTGCAAATGAGTTTCGAGATGTGAATAATAGTTTGCAAAGCATGTGGCGGTTTCTTGGAAATAAAAAGCGAGGTGACGTCCTTAGGTGGATATCAGACATTCCATCTGAGGATCATCACACAGTGGCGAGGACTGGCCGTACAGCAAGTACTGGTGGGTGGCTCTTTAAGCAACAGGTGTTCCAAGACTGGCAGCTTTCAAAGGACTCAATGATATTTTGGTTACACGGTATACGTGAGTCTTCCAAAACGATGTTGGCAAACTCGTCGAGCTCATACATTTCTTTCCATAGCCGGCGTTGGGAAAACGAAGCTTGTCTCTCGAGTTATTGATGAGTTTCTGCAGGTCAAGGGGCAGAAGTTGGTATATTTTTACTGCGATCGCAATGAGGAACTTCGTCGGAAACCGAAAGAGATTCTTTGCAGCTTTGTCAAGCAGCTTTCGATCGCGGATGATCAAACCGTAATCCATGATAGTCTTCTACAAGTCTACAACGATAAGCGACAAAGAGGTTTCCCGTCGAAGGACTTGAACCTTGAAGAGAGCGAAGCGCTCCTAGCTCAATTAATTTCCACATATCCGAAAACAATATTAGTACTAGACGGCTTGGACGAAAGCGAAGAAGGCTCGAGGCAAGATCTTATCAGTTATTTCAGCCGACTTGTCGAGCAGATGCAAAATTTGAAAATATTCATCTCCAGCAGGCGAAACGGAGTCACAGCAAGCTGGCTCGAAACTAAGGCCAATGTTGGCATTGGTGCAATACATAATCAGGATGATATTGCAAAATTTGTCTCACAAAAGATAGATGAAGATGAGAAGAACCGGGCTAACCCTATTCCTGCTGAACTGAAACATGACATTGTCCGTATCCTTCTAGATAAGAGTCAGGGCATGTAAGTGTTTTACCCATAACGCTGTGTGAGTACGAAATAACATGAGTCGAGGTTTCAATGCGCAGCCTTACACGTTACGGAACTTTTATCCCTAGGTCTAGAAAGCGATATTCGTGAGCGTCTGGGATGCTTACCAGCTGACCTGCAATGCGCATACAACAAGATCTACCAGCGAATTCTAGGGTCCACGGGAAGCAAGTTTAAGATCGCAACGAGAGCCCTACAGTGGGTTTTATGTTCGGAGAGACCTCTAACGAGAGATGCCCTCGTTTTCCTTGTATGCCAGGATCCCCAGACCGACACTTTGACCCCCCCATATGTGGACATCCGATACATCCTGGATTCATGCTTTAATCTCCTTGTCATGGATTCGCAGCAGATTTGTCGGCCCTCTCATCTCTCTGTAAATGAATACTTTGAAAATCTTTGGGGCGTTGGCATATGTCATGCCAATGCTGCAAAGATTTGCCTGACGCATATGCTAGTCGCAAGCAGTCAATTGTCACAAGAATCTTCCAAGTATTCGGCTATGATTGACAACTTTTTCCCTTATGCAACACAGTATTGGTTTGTGCACATAAGAAAATACGAGCACTATATCAGGAATACAGGTGAAAAAATTGATCCTCGGCTGTCGCAGCTTGTTGAGAGGTTCCTCGGTCGTGTCGAGGAAAGTGGGCCCGCCTATAGGTCCTGGTGTGAACGTTGCGAACACTTGCCAGGTTTCCCCAT